CCTAACAAAAGTAAAAATTTATTCGTATTAAAATTTACTTAAAAAAATGATAATTAAATAATCTAATTAACGGTTCTTGCATCAAAATAAACATATGTTTACATTTAGTAAGTTCTTTACTTAGAAATATTTAAACAAGTATTTAGTAAAAATTAATTTTCTTTAATTTTCAGTATGCACAACAAGATCCTTGACAGTTACGTTGAATATAACAAGCAAACAAATATCAGTATGGTAGAATAATGTTAATTCGAAAGCTCGCTTTTACGCGCATATGAGAAGACTATTTATATTCGGTCGCGAAATTTAATTAGACGGTACCGCGTTATTAGATCAGAAATGCGCTTATCTGTGCATACGTACATATAATACGGCGGTCATTTAATCCTCGTCGCGTAATAACCATGATATATTCATTCGCGCGCGGGATTATCGTAATCGAATATCAACGTGCGTAACAGGATAGCGTAACTACTTACCACCCTGGATGGAGATTGCGGCGATAGTGGTGTCGCCGCCCTTGATCTGCGTGTTTCCGCGGTACCAAATGATCGAGGCGGCTGGTTTCGCCGCGCTAACGATACACTCTAAGCGCCGCGATTCGCCCACCTTCACCTCGATTACCTGCTTCTTCGGATGATTACTGATTGCCACCTTCTGCGGAGGTGCTGAAAATAGAAAAAGCGAATTTTTCAATCCAATCGAAATTACCTTACATGATATTTCTATAATAACAAGGGGAAAATATATATTTCAAGCGTATAAATCTATAATGTCATATAAGAGCGTGGTAAGAAATGTGACACGTATTTTCATGAATGATATATTTTCGTTGATGGAATTATATTGAAATCCTTTTTTTATTATTCATAACATACGAAATTCTGGATTCAGAAATCATTTTCATTCATAAAGAAGTAATTTTCTCTATTTTTAATAAGTTTCACGCGTCTCACTCTATATTACGCTTTCATTGCTTTATTGATTTACTGCTTTATTAATTTAAGAAATAAAGCAGCTTTCCCCAGCTAGCGATCGTAGGTATTCCACATGTTAATTTACAGTCGATTTAATGAAAATCGAATGCCATCATTTCTTATAATCTTTCAATATTCAATATTAAGGTAATAATTAAATCTTAAATTAAGACTCTACTTAAGCTCAAGCGGGAAGTTAATTAAGGAATAAGATCCTCTTATCTATTAGTCGCGAATTTTGCTTCGTGGAAGAATTTATTTTCACTCTTTCGGAAACTGTATATCGGCATTTTATATATACGATGTCTCACTGTACAATAATTTAATAACAAACTTTGAAGATGAATTAGAATTGAAATTATTCTAATACAAAAATGAAGTTGTAATTTGTTCTCAAGTTACAAGCGATCGAAGTTGGCCAATGCTACGCATGAACTTTGCATAAAATTCGCTCCGTAAATGCTCATATACCGATCTGATACTTATCTATTTTACTGATTTTTTACTCAAGTTTTAGCTCAAGCCATTTCTATAAAAATATCTTTTCATTCAAAGTAATATAAATGCTTTTCGAACAAATTTACATGTAATACGTAATAACGGTTCGTTTATTCGGTTCTGAAAAAAGAATCTGGTAATATCTATCGTGTTGAGTGAAATAATTCCAATCAAATGTTCGGTTAATATAATCAAAAATAACTTTACTTTTCTAATGACGAATTCGATTGGAAAAAGTAGCGCGCATATTAAAGCCGTTGTACACTGATTTAATTTGAGTATAAAAGTGAAATGCAAATATTTCGAATTATAAAATACATATTTTATCTAATAGTACATAAATAATAAAATGTATTGAGTATCTCAGGATTTGATCGATTTCTATGTTTATGTATAAACGTATCTTTACGTTATTTTGTGTACGACCGCTTTAATCTGCGTCCAATCGCTATGAGTATTTAGTAAGTATTACTAAATATAATAATACAATCAACCGTTTTTAGTAATTCATATAAAATATTAAATATTTATATCAAATATTAAAAAAAATAAAAAATTATATTTAATTTATATTAATCAAACATTCGATTGGAAATTATTCATTCAATATTTGAAAAATGTTACCAGATTCTTTTTTTAAATAGACGGACATGTGTCGCTCCGTGCGTCGTGTAATCTATTCCTTGAATCGCAATTCATTCTTCGTTATAGAAAAAAAAATTATCAACTTCGATGTAAAAATTCCTGCAATTCTCGTGAGTGTGTGTCGTTGGGCTAGATGTATCTTGCTCGATTTATTCGTTCGAAGTACAATTTGAATTAATCGAAAACGAAAATCACAAGATTTTTACAGCAAATTTGCGGACGACAGTTATTGCTTGCTCACATTACTTACGAAAAGTACTTGGCATCGACTTGACATCGTATATTTCGCGTCGTACTTTAAATTCTCGGGTATTGAAATGTTCGACGTACGCAAGGTAATGCACGAATAATCGTGAATCGGGCAATTCAAGCAAAGAAAAGCCGCGCGGTGCCCGCGTGGATCGTCTATCAGTTCAAAGCTTGATTCAAAGTAAACAAATACGGAACGGGAAACGGAACATATTTGGTAGTATACGTTTA